GTGCCTCAGGGTTATGGTCTGCGCAGAAGAGTCATGAATTCCTGGTGAAGGTCTTGCCAGCAGTTTGTCTTTTTTGTCTGTATTTCATAGCAATGCTGCCTAGGTGATCACGCTGCACTGTTTTCAGTTGTGGTGGTGTTAGAATTATCTTGAGCCATTTGGGACCTTGTTGGTGAAAAGAAGCATCTTTCATTGATTGCAGGACATGGGTAGCAGATCTGCATGCTTGGGCTCTGCCTGAGGAAATGTTATCAGCCTGCCTGTGCAAGGCTTGGGAGTTTGTTTTAGCCAGTATAGCAAAGGTCTGGGTCTGGATGCTGTTGGACCAGTGTGTGGCACTGGCTGAAATGGAATCGCTTTTATACATTCATGTGGCTATTAATATGCAGCAGGATAGCTGCTTTTGCACAGCCAGAGCAGCTGAATCAGCCTATGTTTTAAGTGTAGACAGGACTCTTGCCTGCCAGATCCTGGGGGCTTGGGGGCTTAGACCAACTAGATAGAGCAGATGCTGACTGTGGGGAGAGCAGCCATGCTGAGGAGAGTCGCAGTCTTCTCTGGAGGCGAGCAGGCTGGGTCACAGCTGCTAGCACTCAGTTAAGCAGATGCTCTCAGTCTGGAGATTGGGGCAGAGCTGGGCCTTGCAAGTCTGGGCTGGGAATGAAGTTGCCTTGGAGATTGGGCAACATTTTTAAGCACAGATTGAAGAGAGATCCTGATCTCTCTCAGTAATTATGTACAGGTTAACCCTCATCTTGTAACTAGGCTTTCATCGGTTTCTTGAGGAGTCTGTGATGAGTCTTCTGTCATTAACCTCTTCTGAGTCTTTCTGTCTACAACAGATCTCTACAGGGATATGCACCAGTAAGGTCAGTTGTAAACTGGGAATTGGAGGTGGGGGAGAACAGAGGGAAAGGATTCTCTTCTCCCCATGACTGAGGAATGCAGGATCGTTTGGGTGCTTTACAGCCTGGCAGGTGAATTATCTGAAGTGACAGGACTTCTTCCTTTTCCCTGAGGCTCTTCCTTAGGTGCTGGCCATGTGTCAAGGCAATTCTCTGCAGACAGCTGGTAGAGTGCAAAGTTTAGTAGTATTTGCCTGCAGATGAGTCAGCAGAAGAGAAATAGCTTGCTCCTGTAAAGTGGAATGATCTTGTAGGCAAAGCAGCACATGACAGTCACATCTGACTGTGCCAACGCCTTCCAAATTCAGAGGGACGATAGGGGAGCCTGGGAGCAGGCAGTGCCACCCAGGGAGCCTGGGAGCTGTGGGTGTCGGAGGAGCCTCGCTGGTGCAGCATATTGGTCTTGGGCTGACTCGGATCTCAGGTGAGCAATGCAGCAGACGTGGGCTGGAGCATTTACTGAGTTGTTGCAGTAAGCTCTTGTTTTACACAGGCTTCAAGTTTAAGTAGCAGTATTTATTTTGCCTCGGCCTGTAAAGCTGCAACTGAAAAGCAGCGGAAGTGGCAGAAGAAATCCTGCTACTGCATGTGGATTTATGGATAATATTCTTCAAGCGATTCCTTGGGACATCAAAACACAAAGAATGCAGGAGGGCCAGGTCCTCATGCCATCAGTGTGCTTAGGGTGCAGAAATATCTGATCTGCTTTTCCGGTGTAGTGTGAGGCAAGCAGTTCTCTGACACCACGAAGGCTAAACAAAACATCAGTACAGTCCATGAAGATGCAGACAGTGAGATAAGACTTTGGCTAAGCAAGATGATTTGCCGTGCCTGTTTTGACCTTCTCCATCTGCCAGAGGTATTAATGTTGGCGTTGTGGTTAAATTCCAGCTCAGATGATGGTGCAGTTAACTCACACTAAGGGAGAAGTTTTAAATTCCTTCCCTGCCTATATATATTTTTTTCTTTGTGGTAATCAGTGCTTGTCCTGCTTCCCTCCCAGAAGTGGCTGTGTTTCAGTGGGAAGGACTTGTGCTTTGTAGTATTACTCTCAACAAAGTGCTGGGTGATTTCTGAAGGCTGTTATTGCCACAGTTTAGAGAAAATTCCTATTTCTCCTTTCGACCGCTATCCCTCCTTCATTCAACATCTGCACTTGGGGACTAAGAGGAGCGATTCCTTCAGGGAGAGCAACTCTTCTCCCTTCTGACAGACGGCTGCTCCTCGCAGAGCCCATACAAGTCTCTCTCTCAACGTGAGGTAGCTGGCAGGTGATGCAAGGCACTTCTTTGATAAAGGGTGTGCACCAAAGAAACACATTTCAGAAGCAAAGCCCCAAGTGTCTGGTAAAGTGGTGCAGAGGTGTGATTTGCCTGTGGATTTCCCGAATGGGCCACTTCCTAACTTCGCTCCTAGCAAGCAGTTTCTCCTATGCTCAGTAAGGCAGGAGGGTGACGCCTTAGACAAAATAGAACGATGTTAATATTGTACAGCAGGGCTCTTTTTTCTGGTTATGTCTGGTGTTTATCTTGGAGTTTTTCGGCATGAGCTGTGAGACCTATCTTCTCTTTCCCCTTCCCCATCTGCTGTAACTGTAATTAATGTTAGAACAGTCAATGCTTTCTGCATTTGGGGAAGCAAAGCTGTGTGCTCATGTGTTAAGCTCAGCTACAGATGCTGAATCCCATTGTTAGTAAGCAATTGTTTGGGATGCTATTTTAGTCATTGGGTCAAAATGAAACAGTCTAAGATTAGTAGCTTAATCGCAGTAAAGTATGGTTTGTTTTGAAAAACAGCGTGTTCCCAGTTTTTCATGAAGACAAGTTTGGTGCTGGGAGGACTTCCCAGCACCAAATGCACTAGCCGCAGGATAGAGGTTTTAAAGTTCTGAAGAGTTGTAAAATTATTGTTCAATTTCTGCATTAATTTGAGTAATTAGCAGAGTTGTGTCACTCATGAGGTGCCCAGCCTGCTCTCCGGACACTGCAGAATCTCCTTGAGTAACATCTAGCCTGTAACATCAGAGCAAATAGAGCATATTTATGCCATCCTCAAAGCATATTTCTCCCTTGGTATGTCAGGTGCCAAACTTGTCTTCAACTGTCCGAGCCCAGGAGAAATCTCCGACAGCTTCTTCCCCATTCCACCCCTCCCACACCCAACCACCCACTCTCCTCCACCCACTGCTGCTGCGGGGTGGCTGGTGCTGTCTGACCGCTGCTGCTTACTTAATGTTTCCATGAACACTGGGGTTACTTGAACCAGAGACAGGGGTCTGCTGCTTTCATGTGAACTGGATGGTTTCTGATAGGACCGTGGTGGTGAAGTAAATACCTGATACAGAGTGTGCTTGCAAGATGCCACCTTGCAAAACCTGAGAATTACTTGTGTCATACCCTGTGTTTTCACAGAGACACTCTGGAAGCTGCTGCATTTATAGCACAGATCTTGCCTGAAAGTTAGATGTTTGCTTAAGTGTTTGAAGACTTGGATCTTAGGGTTGCAAACTCTTCTTGCCTGAGATTGCTTTTGCACACTCCCATATGTCTGTCTGTTGTTAGGAAATAGTAAATTAATTACTGGAATGGGAGAAACTCAGCAAACTTGACTCGCGGGCATTATGGAGTGAGTGCTGGATGGCTCATGTAGTTCTGAAATGTCCTTGTGGCTGCTCTTCACTGTCACTTTTGTCTTCTCCCCAATGTTATTTTCGCTCCCCACTCACCTAGGATTCTCTCTTCCTGTTCTTCGTGCAGAGCAGTCTGGGATGCCCATAAGCATGTAGCCCAAAACCAGTTCAGCTGTGTTTGGCCCTGATGCTGTTTGTAGGGTATCATCTTGTTGATGCTAGGTGGGGAGAGTGGTATGTTCATGTGCTATTAAACTGTGTTTGACTCCTTACATTGGAACATTCCTTAACCTGGAGCCATTTGTACTTGAGTGAGTCCAATCGCTAAATCTGCTTCCTAATAGCTCTCTTTCACAAAGCCTGTGCTGCTTGGCTGCTGAACAGCAGAGCTGTGCCCAGTGGCCCTTACTGAGGACAGTCCCAGCTGATCCCGTGCAGGACCGCTCAGCAGAGACCCTCTGCCGAGGAGAGGGGTGGTGCTCAGAGGGACATCTGCCCTTTCTCATACCTCGCGCTTGCCCCACCTAATGTGTTCCAGCACACCCACTGTATGTGGGTGGGGAGACATTTTAAATTCCACACAGCACTTATTATTAGGGTGTTGAGGCATGCACGTAAGCATCATTCGTGGGTGGAGGGGTCATGCTGCGCTCAGGAATGGCAGGTCAGAAGTGCCATTTGCTGCACTGGAGAGCTGCATGCTTCAAGTGAGCAAGAGAGAGAATGCTGCTCTTTAGTTACTAACTTTGCAAATCTAGCACACATTTCTAACTCCTACAGCAGCTGAAAAGGGAATGTTTGCTGCCATGCCTTTCTGTAAATCCCTAGCTTTGCTTCAGCTGTGTGAAGTGCTGGGCTTCCTAATTCTTCACGGCCCTTTTGGGAAGGTACAGTGACCCCAGCTCAAAAGCAAGGGTCGCTTACTTCCAGATAGCTGTCACAATTTCTGTCCCAAATTGGTTGTCTGTCTATTCATCACAGAAGCAGTTCAGCTGAACCACCACTAATTACAACCTCGTATGTAAAGTGCTGGCAGTAAGTGTGCCCTAAAGTGGTGGCAGCAGCTGCTTCACCATCAGCTGAGTCACCACTGCGGTGGGGACAGGGGAGAGACGTTAAGAGGGGAGCGTGGTAGCCCCTGTCCCAAGGTGAGCTGTCCCTGCTGGGGAGCTGCAGCTTGGTCTTACACAAACAACAAAGCAAACAGCACGCCAGCTAGTTGTTTAATTTTATCACCATGGGCTGCACCTCTTCCCTCACCCTTGTCCTTCTGCTTAAACCTGCTCCTTCCTCTCTTCAGGATTGTTACGGGGATGCAGCACACTCACCAGCTGTCTTGCTGGGCAAGGGGTAGAAGAATGCATTCATCAGAACGAGAGCTGGAGGAGGGCTGAATGCAGGCTGGGCATGCCTTAATCCTTAGGTTGCTTTTCAGATGCTAAAATAGCATAATTAGCCTTGTAGTAATGATTTATAAGTTGCATTGCAACTCTTTTGCGAGTATCTCTCCAGCCAGCTGACTGCTGCACGCTTCTCTCTGTAGAACAGCTCCAAGTTGCATTAAATGATTCAGTATTCCCACCAGGCGCTGTTTGTCAAGCCTTGGCAGCTGATGCCAAATACAACTGGCTAAGTCCCTTGTTAGATGGCTGTGTCTTTGCGCTGACCTTCTGTACACTGTGCCTGCTGTTGACCGATTCTGCTTTGGAAGAGCTGAGAAATATCTTTTTTTTTTGATTTTTTTTTTTTTTTTCCGCCTCTCCTTCATTTTGTTCCAGTTCTTGCTGGACGTGCTTGGCAAGATGGAGCCGCCAACCTCCTCCAGGCTGAATTCCCGAAAGAGAAGAAAAGATGGATCTGGCCCCAATGGGGCGACAGAGCTGGATGGAATCCCTCCAAAAATGTCCCGACGCTCATTCGTAAGTAAGCAGAGATAGGAGCTTTACATGGCTGCAAGATTAGGACATTGAGCCATAACAGCAGAAAGATAAATGTGATGTTTTTGCTGTGGACACAGAAAACAAGTGGGGAGGGGGGAAAGAAGCAAATGACAGTAGCTATCCTTCTTGCAAAGCCAGTTTAAAAATCTTCCTTTGTTCATAGAAATAACATACTTACAACATGGGCTTAAATTAGGTCTGAGGCAAGCGTCGCTAAGCTGCTTTTGTGGTGTATCCAGCTTGTCTCTAGTCACTTAAGCTGAACCTGAGCAGGCATGCATGCAGATATCCATGGAGGAGTGAGCATTCATTTCTCATAGGTGGGTTTTCTTAAGTGACTCAGGGAGGGAGGAATGCTCCAAACAAGCACCTAACAACTCCTGCTCCTAGCAGAAGGCAGTCCCATTCAAGTCGGGGGAACTGCAGGAGGACCTGAAGTCTCTAAGCACCTGCAGAAGCAATTTATTGAATCTGCGCTCTGAAACGCTGGGAAGGTGACTGTTTGTTTGATTCTCCTGGTCTGGCAGGAAACTGCGTTTATGTTGCTGATACTCAGGAGTGTTCATAAAAAAAAAAAAAAAAGGATTTCCCCTTCTAGATCAACCTTGTGACAGCTTTAACAAGCTAAAGCTTGTGGGGTGTCTTCTAAATGGGATCTGTACCAGTTAATACCAGTGTAAAGAGTTGACTTTAACTTGTCCTTGCCACAATACTGTGATGATCGGCTTTTTACAGCTCTTCTCTGCCCTCTTCCTGGAGCTGTCCTGCATATCACATGTGCTCTAGCTGCTCTTTCCTTATCTCTGTCAAAAGCCAGCTACCATCCCTGCCACGTCGTATTGGGGTCATAGTCCTTGGCAAAATATGGTGATGTGTTGCAGCTTTCCTCTTTGATAACAACGTTTTGCTCTTCAGGAGTACTTCAGTCCTGTCCCAGGGCATTTGACAGATGGTAACGAAGTACAGCAGCACCAGCAGTGAGAATTGGGGAGGCAAGCGTTGGGAATGGCGGCTGGAGCTGTTGCATGCCTTATACCACAGAGCCTTAATATCCTTGATTGTCAAAACCCACCCCGTCCCTCTTGAAGACCCCACATATTTTGGTAAGGACAGAGAAGTGTGCAGGTTATTCTGTGGGAATTACTTGCTCTTCAAATTGATCTGTCCTGTGTTAGAAATAAAGCATCTGCCTATGAGCAGCACAGACAAGTAATACTAGCCACTTTCTAAACTTCATGGCTGTTTTTTAGCTACAGGACTAACGCAGACCTCCTGGTGAAAGAGTTCTTTTTTCTTCCTTTTGTGAAAAATTATTGATTATAGCAAGAGTAATAGTGTTGCCTAACTGTGACATTACCTTGAAGCCTTTACCACTCCCAACTAAACAGCTCTCCAGCAGACTGTTCCCCTAAGCAGTCGGGCTCAACAGCAGATGGTAGTAACAAGCCTGCTGACACATAAGCTTGTTGTATTGTCCACATAAGGTTGAGGCCTGACCCTCATAGGTGCTGCAGAGGAAGGGCAAAACTCTGGCAAGGGCTTTTGAGGACATTTCTCTGACATCCTCTGATAATTTTCATAGGGATTTTTTTATGCTTTTATTCCTAGCTTCATATCAGGTATGTGCCAACCAGACTGCAAAGAATCTGGTTTTATTCGCAAGCTCCAGATATAATGGCAGTGATGAAAGGAGAGACCTGCAGGCCTTAACCTAACAGTAAGGATGCTGGTAGAGGAGGTGGCGTGTGAAACGCAGGTATTGGAGCCTCAGTAAGTTAAAGGAGATTTTCAGCAGTATCAGTTTGCTTGAATGTAGTTATCAGTGGTTGCTTTCCTGTGCACTTCACCTTGAGCACTCTAATAAGGAATGACATTGGCAGTAACAGCAGCGGTCTTTCTGGTTGCAGTGGTGCTGGGCACCGTGGCAGGATGCTGCCATGGGACAGGAAGCCAGAGAGGAAACTGCTGATCAGCTTTTTGCAGCTTGAAGGTATTATTGTAATGATCCGCAAGCTTGTTTCCTAGTCTTCTGTCTCAGGAAAGAGACATCCATTGCTGCCCCACACCTTCTGGCTAGAGGAAATGGAGCTGTTTGTTCTGTTATGGGAAGGGCAGATGTTTTGTTCCCATTTTGAGGAGATCAGAAACAATACCTGGTCTTCAGCTGCTGATTAAACATACTGCTGTGGTCCAGCTAGTAGATTAGAGGGAGTTTCCTGCAGCAGTTGGAGATACTCTGCCACAGATCGAGGTCAGTGTCTCACTATGTGTGGCTCAGAAATGAGATACATTCCCCGGGAATTTGCTGCTGTTCGTATTGCTCTTCTGCTTGTTCATATACTCAAATCAAGGAGCTCTTAAAATTTGTACATCACAGCACAAGCACTCAGGCACAGCCAAGTCATGGTCTTGCCTGGGTGGGCATAGCTGGAGCTGCAACAGTGTGAGGTTTGATGAAGCTTGGCTTCTGCTGCTGTGAACTGCTGTTTGTCAAAAGTCTGTTTCTACCAGCTGCAGATCTGAGCCTCCAGTTTTCTTGGGTCCAGTATGACTACCACCTTCTTAACGTGACTTCTCCCCTCCCCAGCCCCCCCCAAACTCAGGCTAATCACCCTGCAGGGCTGTTTTGAGGTTTAACAGTAATTAGTCTTTCAGTACATGCGTTTGAATCATGCAGAGACACAGTGAGTCACTCGATGACTAGGACACTGCAGTTGCAGTGCTGCCGCTATGTAGTGCACTCACCTTTGCATTCTCACAGCTAACCTTCTCTGGCTCTTTAGGGATTGAGGGAGCCAGCTCCGTTTTCAGATGAAGTGGAAATCGATTACAGCAAGCCATACATCAGAGTAACATATGAAGAAGCGATGAGAGGGACCCCTTGTAAGTAAAAACCAGACTGGAAGGGTTGTATATATGTTGGGTTGGGGAGGGACAAGTATGATTTTGATACCTCTTGAGACTGAACCAACCTTGTGTGTCAGACCAGGTTTGCAGCCAATGGCTTAGTTAATGCTTTGGTGATTAGATAACCATTCGCATGTGAAACTGGGCCTGCCAGTACAACTGAATTTGGAGCCTCTGTGTGTGAGGAGCCGTATCTTCACCAGTAAGACTATGCGAAGCGAACACGTATTTGTGTTTTAGCTCTTCCACTGACAGCTATAGAATAGTATCAGAGCTGAACATTTTTCTGTACTACTTTGTCCAAGACAGCTTCAAGTTAAGCATTTTAAGTGTCACCTCTTCTGAAACTTGAAATAGGCAAGTAAAACCAACATATATCTCTGTATGACCCATTCTAGCCTGGATTTGAATTAAAGTCATATTAAACACACTAGGCCAGCCCCACAACAAGAACATGTCCTTTTATTCTTCAAACCAGTCTGGGAAAAACACGGTTCTCTTTGCAAGTCCAAAGGGGACTCCTGAAGGATTGCTGCCCTGTCTTGCCAAACAGACTGTGCAGACCGTGCTGTCGTACTTGGCCTCTCTGTTATGGAAACCAAGACAGTAAAAATGCTGCACTTCTACCTACCTGACTGCTGCTGAGAGATGAGCCAGCTCAGATTAGACCTGGCAGTGGTTTTCTGCAGGAGGTTCTGGAAATCCAGTGCTTTTCACAGTCCGCATTAATTTCCCAGCTGAAAGTCTCCAGAGCCTGCACAAAGATCTCTGATTTCAACAGTCATGGCTCTCCTGCCTGCTAAGACTGAAATACACTGCATGCATCCTTGTTGCTGTTTATGCCTGTGCTCAGGAACTGTAGCTGCTGCAGGTATGGAGGAAAAGGGAAGGATGTCTCAGACAATTTCCAGAACATGATTGTACTTTCATAAAGGCCTGCCAGGACCAGCCCTCTTCTGGCATACAGAAAGCTTTTGCAGTCTTGGATCTCCAGATCCTTGGCTCTCCAGAGCCTCTTGGCATCTTCAGACTGAGGTGGATTTGCTGAAGAATGATTGTAAGAGGCTGTCCTCAGACTCCTCTGCTTAGCTGGAATTTAACAACCCTACCTTTGCATCAGCTCATTCTCTTGCTGCCTCCAGGCCCTGTCTCTACGTACCTTCAGGGCCCTGCTCAGACCCATGGGGTTTCAGCTCTCCTGCTAGGTCTTATCTCTTCCCCTTCCTCACTGCAGCTTTGATGTGACTCTGCTCACACCACCACTCTGAGTCTGTCTGCCTGAACTGGTCCAGAGGGCAGCAGCCCATTCCCAAGTGTGTTGGATACCAAGAATATGTGGCTTTCTGTTACCAGCAGTAAGAGGGCTGGAGTGCTGTGTGGTCCCAAGAGACCAGAAGTCAGGGAGCCTCCTGCTATTACATGGCAGTGCTAGAGCATGTCACTTTCTCTCTGTGCTGACCTCAAAGAGAAGAGCTACAATTTCCCCTGGCAGAGGTGGCCTGAGGAAAGTTTTGTTCCAGCTGGATTTTTGGATACAGCCACACACTTTATGGGACTGGGTGGAGCCAGTGATGCTGATGGGGAATCAGAACAGCCTGGTCCTTCAGCCAGACTGGTGGCTGTGGCAGTAGGCTGCAGAGGAGGATGCTGAAAAGATCTTGAGATGCTATCCTGGCTGGCAGAGGGAAATTGGGCACCTATGAACTATTTTGGCCAGTTCCCCTCTGGTAGCTCAGTGCTGTGCACAAAGTTAATGCTGCGTTTGGATTTCTGTAGGAGGGAGATCTGCAGGGTTTGCGTTCCCTTTGGTCTCCCTTGACCTTGTTTTGGTGGATATATGGTAGGTTTTGAGTCTGTCTTTGAACATGGTTGTATTTCGGCTCTGTGCTCAGCAGCATTTGTTTCCATGTGGGAAGGCAGAGAGCTAGCTGTTTCTCTTCACAAATCTTTCCTGGCTATGGCTCTGCATTCTGCCAGTTTTCTGCAACACCCCACGAGTTTCAGAAGGTCCCCAAATGCAGGCATGAGCAGCAGCTGCTTCTCCAGAAACGCATCTTCACAAAGGTGTCTCTGTCTCCTTGGCACAGTGGATCGCCCCGTCAGAGTTTATGCCGATGGAATATTTGACTTGTTTCACTCTGGACATGCCCGGGCCTTGATGCAAGCGAAGAACCTCTTCCCAAACACATACCTCATTGTCGGAGGTAAGGAGTGACTTTGTTGACTTTGGCTGTCATAGGAGTACAGTTTACCTCCATCCATGGTTGTGCATACAGACGGCATAGCAGAGTTTTTGTCTTTATGGCCTTAGTGGTTCTCACTGCAGCCAATTTTGCCAAATGTTCTTTGAGTCTTATTGCAATATATTGAGAGTTAATATGTCTGCAGGAAGATATGCTGTACCAAATGAGTGCTTGAGAAAGCGATTTCTGATCAGGCTGTTCTAATTTGACCCCTCTATTTTTGTGACAGATACCGGTAAGTTGCACGCCTGAGTATCAAAGTATATTAGGGGCGATTGAGCATCTGCCTCTTGAATGAGACAGTTAACGAATGAGGAACAGTCCCTCCGTGGCTGATTGAGCTTTGTGTGACCTGTGTTGCCCTGCAAGTCGCGCCCCCCCCGCCCCAGCTCTGCTGGGGATTGCTTATAGTTTTCTCAACTACTGTTAGCTTCCTGAAGCAAAATGAAACTGATCCTGTGATAGAGCCATCATAATGTCTTTGGTTTGTTGCCTTATCACAGTTTCACTCACTGAGGGCATTTTTATAGTGGTACTTCTGCATTTTTTGTGTGTGTTACAGTAGTGTCTGGGAGGGGGAGGGAGGGGGACAGCTGAAATAGTTGCTGCAACCTACAAAATGCTCTGAGCTTAGAAGTCGTGCAGGCAGAAAGACATCCCTGCATACGTCAGACAGGAAAATAACTTCAAGTCAAACTATTAATATGTTAATGTAGCAAGGTGTGTAACCACCCTCTGCCTCTGGGAGACTGGTGAGGTGGAGAGCAACGAACTGCTCCCCTTGCACCAGGAACTGAGACAAGGGGCCACAGCCCAAGTGAACGTTAGCTCTAGGCTGGGAGCAATCTCCCCCACTCTTTGTCATCTGTTTGTCTAGAACATAAATAAATCCAGTACCAGTGAGACTGGTAATGGGTAATGCCTTGTTTACTTTTGAGTCTGATAACCAAATAAAACTCCTTCCTTCTCAGTGCCTTACATTGCAGATTATGCAGAGTTGTTCATTTACTTTCTCAGAGAACATAATAATTAAGCTAACTTGATTTGCTGTGAACTAACCCTTTGTTTTAATACTCCTTTCCAAGAACTACACTGTGGTATGGCATTTTATGAAGTAAGGATCTTAGGGAAGGCTTTTCTTTCATGAACTTCAGTTTCCAGGCCTGAGACATTCATAAGTTAATAAGCAGGTTTCTGCCTAATAGAGCCCCAGGTGCCATTTCATACAGGAGAGTAGTCTTCTGTATTGGCTGGTTTTGTTGGTAAGCATTGTAGGCTCTAGAGACCTTGAGGGCTTGGGGTGTATGTCCCCAACTTGGGCAGAAATCCCCCAAACATCTTGACTAGAATTGCTCAGGAGTTCAGTGCCCTGCGCTACTCCCTGTTCCTGGTGCTTTGTGGCTGGAAGAGCTGGGTTTGAAAGTGCCAGTGCTGGCCTCCATCAGCAGCCGGAACTGCCTGGCTTGGGAGGGGTGCGTGCAAGGTCCTTTTGCTGTAAAGCACTGGGGTAAGTACCTCAAGCTTATTCTTCTCTGTGCCTCTTTCTTCAGTCTGCAGTGATGAGCTAACCCATAACTTCAAGGGCTTCACAGTAATGAATGAAAATGAGCGGTATGATGCTGTGCAGCACTGTCGCTACGTGGACGAAGTGGTGAGAAATGCACCATGGACACTCACCCCCGAGTTCCTGGCAGAGCACAGGGTAATTTGTGACATCTGATCCATTCTGAATTTTGATTAACTTCTGTCTGTGCTTGCTGTTTACAGCCAGAATTCATCCATGGGGGTAACCTCTGCTTGCTCAACCTGCTTCGATTAAAAATCCTTAAATATAGAATGAGCTGGGTTATGGGAATCGAGTGGGTTTCTTGGGAGACTAGAAGCATTTGCTGAGGTGGCAGATAATGTTAAAATAAGGTAGAAATTGTGACATGGTGAAAAAGCCTGAGAGGATTCTTGCTGTTCCATCAGAAATTGATGCTGGTTACAGATTGGTGTGAAATGCAGCAGGGAGAGGATAACATGGGTTGGAAGGGATTTCTGGAGGGCGTCTGGCACCTTACAGCAGGAGCAGCTTAGATCTACATCAGCTTTCCTGCAGCAGGAGACCAGGAAAGCTGTCTTGAGAGTCTTTTATCAGTTGGTAAGATAAAGGAATCTCTAACCGAGGTAGAACTGCTTTGGGAGGTGAAGAAGTCTCCAGGGGAGTTTGCTTAGTTTACCTTTGTTGCCATTAACAAACCATTTCAGTGTGGAGTTTAAAACAGCTGTGTCCTTAGTCCCAGCCTTTCCCCTCTGGTGTGTGCTTAGAACTGATATGGAATTGCCATTGAGAACTTGGGACTGCTTGTGTTGCTTTCTAAGAGGAAAGTGTCTTGCTGTTCTCTGTCACACCCCTACGTGGAGGTGTTGAGCAAAAAGTTACCATCCGTTACCAAAAAGCAGGAGACCTGCACGTTCAAGATAAAATGTTGATTTGCATTGCTTTCTTAATTTTCAGATTGACTTTGTTGCACACGATGACATCCCCTATTCTTCTGCTGGCAGCGATGATGTTTATAAGCATATAAAAGAAGCAGGTGGGTCTGGGTCAGGTTCTCCAGGGCTTCCTGTCAAAGATCTGCTGTAGTTTCTCCAGTGCCCCTGTACAGCAGGATTATGCCTGGGGAGGTGACTGTGCCCCTCTGGGAACAAGGTCTGCCCAGGAGGCTCTGAGGGTAGGAAGAAGCTCGGCTTTGGGCCTTACTTCATAAGGCTAGGACTGGTCCATGTTTCAGGCCAAGCATTGATATTTCTACCCACTAAACTGTAGGACCCCTTGTCCTGTCCTTGTTACCATGCTATACTATATGCAGTGGATTGTAGTCAATAGTCTTTAAACCGGCTAAAGTGAAGAGCTTTTCATTAGAAGACATGGTATTTTTGACATGGTTTTGACATGTTTTGGTCTTACTTAGGTCTTCCTCATAGTCTGAGGAAGCAGGATCCTGGTATTGAACATTCAAGGACAGAGATGTGGTTGTGAGGACAGTTAGGAAATGAGATCTTGACAGGAGAGAGTGTTTCCTAACAGAGGTGGTAGGAGCTTTTTGCCATGTGACTTGCTACAGCTGTCCTGGGTCCTGTTCCCCAACTTTAGGCATGTTTGCACCAACTCAGAGGACTGAGGGGATCTCAACATCAGATATCATCACCCGGATCGTACGAGACTATGATGTTTATGCCAGGCGGAACCTGCAGCGGGGCTACACAGCTAAAGAGCTCAACGTCAGCTTTATAAACGTGAGTTGAAGTGTGTCTCACCACAAGCTGCGTGAAACCGAATCTTATAAATTGTGGAGATGTAGAATCTTGTCTAGTGGTAGCACAGTCCTGCCATATGTCAGTAAAAGGCCAGTCTGCAGAGCTAAGCAGTTGCACCAAAACAGTGTCCTTGGAGTAGAAATTAGACTTCATCCACCACTGAAACTGCCTCTAGGACTCATCCAGAGGAACTGGTGTTTTGCTAATACTGCTCCATTGTCAGAAATGTCTCAGTGACATTTTACCTGTTGAAGGAGCTAGAGACCGGATGTGTGGCAAAATGTGTGTTTTCTTGAATTGAATGAAGTGTGGGTTGTTCTTGGCAGCAGCTGCTGTGTCTCATCTCTCTCTCCTTCTCTCAACCACCTTCTTAAGGTAGAGTCATTTGTTAGGATAAAATCTGATCCTGTTCTCACTGTACTATTCCCTTCCTGGAGCTGCAGGAGCAACAGTGCTTGGGTAGGAGAGAAGGGCATGCTCTGATCCTGTGCTGAGCAGCTCTAACTCACAAGCAGAATACATGGCAGAAGGCACTTCTGATGTTGGAAGTAAAGTAGCAAACATTTACTTTTCTTTAATCACTCAGATACTATGCCTATTTTTTTTAAATACAATTAAATGCAAAAATGAAACAGGAGAGGTAACGGCTGCTTGGCCTCTCTTTGGCATGTAACTCTGCCTCTGTTTAAAAACACCCAGCAAAAAGACTTGTGCTATTGTGATATTCAGAGAGACCTACAGCAGGTCACTCAAATATAATCTGTATGTTGTATAAATATTTCCCTCTTCCATTTATATATCCCTCTTCCTATTAGATAGTGCTTATCTCTGGGTTTAGTCTCGCTTTGTCTCATACTGTGCCAGTGACTGCCACAAAGCATCTCACAGCCCCACTATGTCTGCCATTTAGTCTAGGGAAGAAGTGTCACTGAAGTGAAGGAGAAGTGTCACAAGACTAATGGAGATGCTGAGTCTTAAGCAGCAGTTCAGTGTAATGACACAGAGCAGAGGTGGTCGCCACTCAGATCTGGTGAGCTGTATTCTCATCCACCACTTAATGTACAGGAGAAGAAATATCACCTCCAGGAGCGTGTGGATAAGGTGAAAAAGAGGGTGAAGGATGTAGAGGAGAAGTCAAAGGAATTTGTCCAGAAAGTAGAGGAGAAGAGTATTGATCTCATTCAGAAGTGGGAAGAGAAGTCCCGGGAGTTCATTGGCAATTTCCTGGAGATGTTTGGCCCAGAAGGCGCATTGGTAAGGAGCCGCTCTGGGAAAAGGGGAAGGGGGATCTTGGAGAGCTCGACAGCCCACGGTCTGCAGAGCAAATTTACAGTTTGTTGCAGTGCTCGATGTGCTGCCAGTATCCAGACAAGTTGTCCCAGGTTTGGGCAGCCTGTTTACAGGGAGCCCTCACCCCTGCCAACAAGAGAATGCCAGTTACGGTTATGGTGTGAAAAGTCCCCATGCCACACAACCTGTGCCTGTAAACTCCAGCTTGTGTCCTTGCAGGCCACTGAGCAGCCAAGAGATTGGTGGTCACTTTGTCACTAGCCTGGGATGAGTCTGAAGCTACTTGTTTTTGCCAGGCTCTCCTGTGCTGCTGGGTAAATATCACAGGCACTTGATGTTAGAGGTGCTTGAAAATGGGTGATGATTACACTGCATGCAGTTTCCAAAGCCTAGGGTGATGCTTGGGTTTTTTCTGCTCTTATATTGCATGAAACATTGAAGGGACACAGCAATTTAAAATGCTGCACAAGCTGTAAGTACTGTCCATTTCCACCGCTGTTTAAGCCACGTTAACTGTCTTCCCGCTTCCATTATTAGAAACATATGCTGAAGGAGGGCAAGGGCCGGATGCTGCAAGCCATCAGCCCAAAGCAGAGTCCCAGCAGTAGCCCCACACATGACCGCTCGCCGTCTCCCTCCTTCCGCTGGCCCTTTTCAACCAAGACTCCTCCTTCCTCACCGGCCAACCGCTCCAGGAACGAGTCTGCAGTCACCTACGACATCAGTGAGGATGAAGAAGATTAAGATACCAGCCGGGATTTGCTGCGAACCGCTAATTGCCGAATCCTAAGTCCAGACCCACTGGGGAACTCTAAATGAGCAAGAGAGCCATAGGAACAGGGCTGACGGTGAGCACAGGGCCTTGGAGGCACCCGTTGCTCTTAGCAAGGGCTGCTGCCTGGAAGCACATTCAAACCTCCTCTCCCTTCTCCTTCCCAAGTCCCCTTTTTATTGTTTACGTTCTAGTGGTTTCCAGGGGGAAGATGGTTTTTATATTTTAAGAAAATAATCTTTTAAAGCGCAAAGAATAGCACTCAAGTGTGGCTTTTGTTTTGGTTTCTTTTCCTCTGTTGAACCTCCAGGCAAGAGGGAGAGTGGGAAAACCCATGTGTCCCTTCTTTCCTTCAGCTTCTCTGTCTTATTCCCCCCACCCCCAGGCAGTACCTGTGCCACTGCCGAACAGAAGACCCCTCAGTTCCTCAAATGGCGTGACCTCGAGAGCACGCAGGAAGCGGTGGTGTAAAGAGGCTTGTAGGAAATAGAGACATCTCTGCTGCTCTGGAGCCGATAGGAATCTATCTGGCAGACCCCGTAGTGCTCGTGCACCTCATAGCTGAGCTTCCCAGCGTGTCGCAGTGAGGACATGTTGGGGAGGGGGCTACCAGCTTAGCACGCAGCAGTTACACCCGGGAGGAACTTGCAGCACCATAGAGTCGCACACCCCGTAAGCACACAGCATTCACGGCTCCAAATTGTATGGGGGCTGCAGGGGGAAAAGCCTTTCCAGCTAATCATAACAAGACTGCTAAATCTTGAGCTAAAATTCAGCCCTCAGTTGCTGTCGGAGAGAAGAGAATGAATCTTTGCTTCGGGGCACTTGCTGTCTGTGTGTTTCCTTGGGGGTGTGAGAGCCCAGGTAGGAAATGAATGTCTGTACTCCTTTGAGAAGTTCCTTGTCCCAGTCTCTGGTGTGTAGTAAGTTTTATTGTCTGTCCAAAATGGCCCCTCAACACTGTGCTCTGTGCGTGTTTGTGTTTCAGTTGCTGTGCTCTAAGGGCTGGAGCAGTCCTTTACACTGGTGCCATGAAGTCGCTGCTATAAGGACAAAACATGAACTCATACAGCCCGTTTGCTGTCCGTGTTGGTGTGTGCAGCTGGACAGATGAAGGGCACCTTTTTTGACCCCAGTGAAGGGTCCCGGTTCCATGTGACAGTTACCCAGCTTGTGCAATAAATGCACAACTCAGTGCCCGCTTACTCCGCTCCTTGAGGCAGGCCAGAAACAGCATCAGAGAGCGCTGCAGCTTTTTAAGGTTTCAAACATGTAATCTGCTAGTTTGAAACCATGGTCCACGTCGTGCCTGCTGTTGTGTCTGTAATAAACAGTGAGCTTTGTGGCCGGCAGCTCCCTGCGGGCAGTTGCCCTCCCCATGCTTCGTGCCTGTGTACAGAGCGTGTCGGTGCGGTGCGCTCTGTCCTGGCAGCCAGCTGGAGGGACTGGACTTGCTGTCGCGGAGCTGTTAAGCTCCTGCTTGCTTTTCTGTTCGGGTTTGCCTGTGATGTCCGTTGTCTCTGGGTGGAGCTGCTGGGCTGAGTTGCCTGTATCCTGCCGTGATGCTGGGAGCAGGGCAGGACAGCTCGGAGCGCCTTCAGCAGTACTGCAGGGAGGGCCTCGGAGCAGGACGTGGGGCTTGAGGAGCAGTGGGTGCAAGGAGGCAAATCGTCAAGTGCTGCCGCAGGCTCTGCACAGTGTGATGCTTCCAGGGAACGCAGGGGCCCTGTGGTAGGAGCAGGCTGACACTTCTTTCCAGCTTTTATCTTGCTGATCCTTTGTCATGCTGCCCAAAGGGCTTGACAGAGGCTCTGCTTCTGTTGAGGCCAGAGCTGGTATGGGAAAGGGTATTTTGGGGATTCCTCATCTGCCACTTGGACCTCTCTCAGCAGGGACTTGCACAGCTCTGGGAGTGTGGCTGGCTGCTGTGGATTTTAAGCTGTAAGGAGCAAATAATGGTCAGTTGGAACAAGCCAGTTGTTAATCCCCTGGTTTATGAGTGGTAGAGCACTTATATCACCCACATTCTCTCTTCCCTCATCCTCCCCACCTTCCCTTCCTCACCCTTCCTTCAGTATGGGTGTTGTGTTGCTTTCCCAAGCCAGATCACAAAGGCCAAGCTGCTTTAGAGCCTTACTACTGTTTTAAACACAAGTTATGCAACAGTGTTCTGTAATTTTGGATAACAATGTTGTTTTGGATGGTGGTTTGTTCTGCGGAGACCTTAATGTATTTCTCGGTCTTTCTGCAAAACCTGGGGTGCTTGCTAAGAAGCCAGCCATGGTTTTACATGTAGCTTGGAATAACAGCTGTTTCTTGTAACCAATAATCCCTGCTTCCTCCTTGCACTTAAATTAAAATGGACACTCAAATCCCAGACTAGTCTTTTTTTGTTTCCTCCTGGATTGCTGGACCAGCCTCATCTCCAGTGCTGCCCTGTCCTATCAGGAATAGGACAGAGCTTGGTCTTTGGGCAAGACTTGTGAGCCAAGTTCTCCAGGAACTTCTTGTTACCTGCAGATGTAGCCAGTGCTGCTGCTTCAGGGCTGTCCTGCACACCCCTAACCCATCCCACACTCTTCAAAAGAAGCACCCAGAAGAGATATGCTTGAATTAAACATTAAGTAAGACGTAGAATGGAAAAATAAAACTTTACTGTCATGCATTGAAGAACGTGTGGAGCTTGATGCTGCTAAACCCAGAGGCTGTTGGCAGCAGCAGACAGCCCCTGCGAGAGGGTTTTCTAATGGCGGAGAACAGCAGCAGCAGGGCAAAGCTGAAAGGTGCCAAGGATGCTGGTGGAAGCAAGACGTGAAGATCATGGCACTTTAACAGCATGCTGGTTAGGGCTGCAGGAGGAGGTTTTTAATCTCTTGAGGAAATCGTGACACACACCTGCATTGACATGATTTTGCGCATTTTACAGAGGCTCAGGACTTTTTTGTGGGGTCGAGTTCTTGTAAGTAGAGGCGGATGCTGGAGCAGCAAATACACTTGGCAGTAGCAGTGACTTTGGTGGGACAGATCCTGCATCTTGCCCCCTGCCCTCAGGGAGGGTTTCTCACTGCCAGAGGCTCCCTGCTGTAAAGGTGTGGGTTTCCTACCTGCTGCAGGTAAGGAGCTGGGTTTGGTTGTCTGACGGGGGGGAACGAGTCCCATATTTTGTTGCTTGCCTGGGCATTGCTGCTTGTCAAAACCATGAGACTGCTGGGTCTCAGCGTTCCAGCTGGTGCTAGAAAGCTGCATTGGTAATGGGTGTGTACTGGTGCCAGGAGCCTGTCAAATTTGGCAATCTCATAACTACTCACCAGTGCGTCTCCTGACCGAGCAGTTTCGGTTTGAACACAGCCACCTGCAAAAAGCTCTGAGTCACTTTTCCCCTTTCCTCATGGGGCAAAAAACTTTCTTTTTCCCCAAGATGAATCAATTAAGTAAATAAGTTGGGAGATTTGGCTTTCTGACTCTGCATCCCCAACACGTCATACTGGCAAGAGGTATTGTGGTGGGAGGGCAGGCTGTGGTCTTGGCACTGACAGCCTGGCATCTGCTGCCCATCTCCAGCCATGGCATCACCCAGTCCTGCCATCACCTCCAGCCCTGCAGCAGCAGCTGCTTCGAGCTGGCTCCTCCTGGTTGGTGTTTGCTGTGCTGTTTTTTCTGTATGAGCCTGCGTGCACACCATGTGTCTTACTGGCTTGTTCTGGAGTTGGTTTTTTGCCTTTTATGTTTAGCCAAATAAATGCAAAGTCATTTTACTCGGTGTGTGCCAGATCCCGTCTGCTGTCCTAGCACAGCCAGCTCCCATCGTGGTATCTTCACCTGCCTCCTAGCAGTGGTTTGAGTGAGAAAATGCTTCAGTGGTGGGAAAAAGGTAACCCAGAGGTTTCTGTAAGTCATCATCACTCTTGATGTCCATCCCCACCTCTGTTGTAGGTATAGAGGAGATAGTGCTACTGGAGCAGATCCTGGGCAAGGCTGGTTAAAGGCAGCATTAACTGCCTGTGTTATGAAGGTGCTTCAAAGCTCCTTCCTTTGCCTGGCCCCAGGCTGGTGGTTGTGGATGCTCTGGGCCAGCCACTGCTGTAGAGGACATGCCTCAGGGACGGGCCAGACCCATCCAGAGGTCTCCGAAGAAAATGCTGCTGCCCTGGCATTGCCTGGGGCATCGGACCCTGGCCAGCAGCACCCAGAGGTCAGTGTCATGGCTGGGGGGTGGGCACCCCCCGCAACCC